TGAAAAGGTCTTAGATATGACACTAAAAGCACAACCCATAAAAGAAAAAAAATCAATAAATTAAGTTTGTTCAAAACTTTTGCTCTGTGAATGCCCCTCTTAAGAGGATAAATGCATGCCATAAAATGGGAAAACATTTGCAAATCATCTGACAAAGGACTTGAATGTGTAATAGAATAGAACTCTCTAAACTCAACACTAAGAAAATAATCCACTTAGAAAACAGGCAAAAGATTTGAACAGACACTTCACCAAAAAGGATGCATGGGTGGCAAATAAACACAGGAAAAGATGTTAAACATCATTAACTATTAGGGTAGTCCAAATTAAAATCAAGATGAGATACCAAGCCATACCTATTCAAGTAGCTAAAATAAAAAAGAAGAACAATCAGAGGTGATGATGAGGATGTGGAAAAACTGCCTCCCATACATTACTAGTGGGAGTGTAAAATGGTACTGTGATAAAGTAATTTCCATGACAGCTAATGTTTGAATCATTAGTAATGCCATGCTACTTTATATATTTTTCGTACTGTTGAAAGTTAAAACAAGAAGTGAAATCTCCATTCCTATATAAATTTGTAGTGGATATATACAGAGGGTGCCAAAAAAATGTATACACCTTTTAAGAAAGGAAAAAACTGCATTAAAATTATGCTGATGGTAACCACTTTGAGCACCTCTTGTAATTGCAGAAGTCAAACGTGACTTGTATTCACCTTTTGTTATTGGTATATATTGAGTGTTACAATTTTAATACACTTTTCCTTTCTTTAAATGTGTATACATTTTTTGGCACCCTCTGTATATAAAAACTTAAATTACAGTTCTAGCAGTGTTTTTCAGAACCTCAGTGAAATACAAAGGAAATTTCCATATTCTAAGATTCATTTATTTTGGAAATAGATAATGATGATGGTTGTACACATTGTGAATATAATTAATGTCCCTGCATTGTAGACTTAAAAATGGTAAAAATTGCAAATTTTATATATATATATATATATATATATATATATATATATATAGCCACGATAAAAAAATCCATTTAATTGAGCCATTCAGTAGGCTTCCACCCAGCTTTCAATTGGAAGTGATTAATCTGCAAAGTAATGTCATGATAAAGATAAATGTCAAGAGAAAAATCTAATAGAATTCTATAATGCTTTCCAAGAGATGACTATGCTCAACCAACTCATATGCTCATGGATTGCTTTTCAGTATTTGGCAGTACCTATCTGTGTGAAAAGACATTTTCAAATATGAAATTGTAAAATCTCGTTATAAATCAGCATTAACTGATGAAGATTTGCAGTCGATTTTGATAAAAGGGAAAACCATTTCAAACTTCAATTAAGTGAAATGTTATTCCCCTGAAAAGAATGGAATTCTTCTCATTAGTAGACAAGTATTAAAAAAAAGTTGTAGTCAGTTATTATTACTATATTTTGAATTTTGTCAGTAAATATTTTATGGAAATTTGTTTTCTTTTGTAATGTAAATACCTACATAATATCCTTGGCCCACAAAGCCTAAAATATTTACTATCTGGCCCATTATAGAAAGTTTTGCTAAGCCCTAGCTGAGTACTGATTTTTCACTCTTCTTTTCTAATATATGCTTTTAAAGCATTCACAATTTCATTCTATGCCCTGCTTTAGCCGTGTCCCACAAATTTTGATGGTGTTATAATTTCTTACCATTTAGCTCAAAATATTTACTAATTTCCATTTGATAGCTTTAGTTTGTATTATTTAGAAGTGTGTTGCATAATTTCTGAATATTTGGAAATTTTTCTTTTTATCTTTGTTACTGAATTCTAATTAAATTCCAAAGTGGTCAAGGACCATACACTGTATAATGTCAGCCTTTTGAAGTTGGTTGAGGTTTGCTTTATGGCCCAGTATGTAGTCCGTTTTGGCAGATATCCAGTGTGCCCTAGAAGTGGTATTACTTTACTTTTTGTCTTCTTCTGAAGCTTTGGATATCCAAATAAGGCTGGTCCTTGTAACATTCTGTGCCTACTTTGTACATAGTCCCAGTTTCTCCTTCCTTATCGTAGTAGGTGTGTTTGTATTTTTAGCATAACTTTCTCCTTTATCAACCCAGTGGTTTTCTGTTCTTCTCTGTGGTTTTAGGCAGCCTAAAGGTGAAAAACAAAACAAAACAAAACATCTTTGTGAACTACTTGAATCTCAGCAGCCTTTATTTACTTAGTTCATTATTAGGATCAATGTCCATAACCACTAGATAAGTGTTCACCTGATACCTGAGGACTTGGTACAGGTTAATTTTTTCCTTGATGTTGATTCATTTGTCATTTTGTGGTTATTGTGTTGGTCCGCCCTGCCTTTGACAGAAGGAAAGGAATGTGCTTCCTGGTACTAAGCAGCAGCGCATAACTATGCTGGGAACTAAAGCTGTTGTATTTGAGGAGCGATCCCCCTAGGCATGCACGCTTATGACCTCATGCATGAATTCTGCCCTTTCAGTTCAGCTCACATTTGAGTTGCCTCTGTTCTGGATGGTAAAGATATGGTATGCGACAATAGAGACTCTACTTTGTGTAAGGCATGGCATATTAGGGGCTGCAGCTCTTAACTGTGTCTTGATTTGGGGATCTATTCTTTCTTTCTGTTTCACAATAATTGCTGGAAATATTTGTGATAATGTGAGAAAAGGATGATGAACTTATAATCCTTACTTGAGGAAAATAATGCTTCTGCTTCTGCAACAGGAAGGCATACACTTTGAGTTACTTTTAGAGTAAAAGGGGATAGACGTATCTTGATTCTTGTCCCACCCTCTTCTGCCACAGTCAGACATTGAATTACATGCATTTTTGTTAATCTGGTTAATTGGTATTTATAAGCTTTATAGCAAATATGTATAACTTTGTATTGCAATTCAATGAGACCCTCTGCTTCATGCTGCAGAAATCTGGGAATTGAAGCTCTTTAGCTGTGCAGCCAGGGTGAGAACCCTGTTGCTGACAAGAGAGAAAAACAGGCACGTGTATATCTTGGCTCTGTCTGCATGACAGGGCTGTTTAATTGGGGGTGATCTTGAATTTTTTGTCATAGAAAACGGGCAAAAGAATTTGCAGTTAGTAGTGAAGTAATTGACTCTCAGTCCACATTGGGAAATGAAAGATAAAACACTTTGGCGATTAAATATAAATTTTGGAATGTACGACACATAGAGTGAATTCTAAAGGTAAACTGTGGATTTCAGTTAATATATGTCGGTAGTGGCTCATCAGTAGCACATGTACCATGTTAATGCAGGGTGTTAATAATGAGAAACGGATGGGGCGGAGAGGGGGCAGCTGGGGAGGTAATGTGGGCACTTTGTACTTTCTGCTCAATTTTTCTCATCCTAAAAGTGCTCAAAAAAAAAAAAAGACTGTTAGCTTAGAAAATTTAAGTCCGGTGTAATGTTCCTTAGCAAGTTCACATCATACAAGTTAGTGCGTAACCCCTGATCCTAGAGATTTCTCAGTGAAGATGACTCTGGCTTGCAGTCTGAGCTGTTGTGTCAGGTAGATTTCTTTGCTCCTGTTTTCTGATGCTCACTAACTGTACTTGGCCTTCTCTCCCCATGTGTTGAAACAGCTGGAATGCCAAGATGCCTTGGAAACAGCAGCCCGAGCCGAGGGCCTCTCCCTGGATGTCTCCATGCATTCTCAGCTCAGAATCCTGGATGAGGAACATCCCAAAGGAAAGTACCATCACAGCTTAAGTGCTCTGAAACCCATTCGGACCACTTCCAAGTAAGCCCATTCGGACTACATCCAAGCTCTGCTGGTGAATGACTTCTCTGTGAAGCTCCACATGCAGTTTTCAAAATTTGGGCTAAGATTAGACCATTTGGGGAGGCCTGTTTTTAGTCAGGAGCTCTGTTTACTGAACAGTGTACTATAAATGCCAGCTGGGCTCTCCGTGCGTGTTGACAGTTTTGTGCTTTGGGTTTTCTCTTGTTAGACACCAGCACCCAGTGGACAATGCAGGGCTCTTCTCCTGTATGACTTTTTCTTGGCTTTCTCCCCTGGCCCGCCTGGCCCACAAGAAGCGGGAGCTTTCAATGGAGGATGTGTGGTCTCTGTCCAAGTACGAGTCTTCCGACGTGAACTGCAGAAGGTAGGCGTCTCTGGTCCACCCCGGTCTCCCACATACCGGATGCGTAGGGCCTGAGCTAGGAGTGTGGGTCCAGGAGTGTGAAGCTCTCACCTCTGTGTCCTTTTAGGATCTGAGCTAGCTGATGGAGGGTGGGTAGCCTGGGGATGACTTTCTCTTTGCTCTTCTGCTTTATCTCCTATTTCACCTTTAATCCTGTTTTAACCACGGGCTTTCTCTCTCTCTCTCAGCCCCGCTTCTTTTCCTGAGTCTGCAGGGAGATTATGTTGCTGCCTTGTGACAGGATACATTTTTGTGGTAGCTGATTGTCATGATTAAAATCTAGTTTACAACTTTACATTTCACCACAGGATCCTTCAGAAAGGGTTGGGGACCCTTGAGGAAGGAAGTTCTTTTCCACAAACAAATTCTGTTCAGGGATAATCTTTCTGGGTGGAAGGAAAGACCTTTGTTCTCATCATTTTCTGTATCCTGAGAGGCTCCCTATGCAGGGTAAATATGTAGTCACCCAGGAAGGGTATTTTTTTTTCCAGAAGGTCAAGACTATTCACTTAATTTTAAAGGAAAGACTTACGCGAGAGTGTATCAAAGCCTGGAGACAGAAAGTGATGGCAGGAGGGAAGCTAGGGTGTGTATATCGCCCGAGGAGATGTGTAACGGAGGACATGTGCCCTTGTTAAGACTAGAGAGACTGTGGCAAGAAGAGCTGAATGAAGTTGGGCCAGACGCTGCTTCCCTCCGAAGGGTTGTGTGGATCTTCTGCCGCACCAGGCTCATCCTCTCCATCGTGTGCCTGATGATCACGCAGCTGGCTGGCTTCAGTGGACCAGTAAGTTCTAACCATCCTTTCTGACAGTCTCCAGGGGCCCAGCCACGGCCAGCTCTAACACTCTTGTTCTGTTGCAGGGGTTGTGCTCACCTTTGGGCTAGTTAGCAGCCTTAGAAATGCCTTCAGGTCTGTTGAAAGGGAGCAGTTGATTTTGGAGTGAATGGTGGCTTGTCAGAAGCTGCAAGGATGAGGGGGCGGCATTGCCAGAGTGAAATGGAATTGGCTTGCTTTCCTGGGGTGGGGGCGAGACTGAGTGGTTCCGGCTCTGCACAGGACCATGCTGCTTTGCTGTGTGGTGACGTGAAATGACAGTCTTGGTTCAGAAAGGTGTGTCTCTCAGTGCTGTGAGTGGGCGAGGGCAGCCTCGTGTGACATAGGCTGTTGAACTTGCTGCTGGGGACAGTACCAAGTGCCTGGAGGCTGTTGTCACATGTTTGACGGTTCTGTGGCAAATGAGTGCTGAAGAAACTAGACTGTTGAGGTTTTTAGAGCGGAACCTGGAGTCCATTTTAAGTTTGGTTTGTAGCGTACACTGTGTGGCAAGCGTTGGGGTGGCAGCCGTGGTTTTTTTCCTAGTGTGTACCTAAGCAGAGTAGTAAGAGAGTGATGTTCACACTGTTTTCTGGACACCTGTTTCTTACACCCACTGTGCTGCCTTACACTTGAGACTTTGATTAAATCTATTCTCTACATATTTGCCTTGAGGCATCGGAGCAGTAGTGCTACTATACTGTGCATTTTCCGTGTGTGGGTAAGCTGGAGGTTCATGGTGTGGTAAGTATGTGCCTAAGATGCATGGTGATTAGGTAAAACTAATTTGTAATTTTTCCGTTGGGTGTTTTTTTTTTGTTTGTTTTTGTTTCTTTTTACTGTTTGATGCCTTTTAAAAAATTTTGATCTCTTTTCTGAAGCAGAGAACACTCCTTTTCTGGTATTGGGTTTCTACATTAATTGACCAACTAACACATTTTTGTGTAAGTTTTAAGTAAAGGGGACCATGTAACTGAATATTATGTTATTGACCAAAATGGCAAACGTTTTCATAGGGTCAGCTTCCCCCAAGAAGAGCTTCTGTCATTGTTTCACTACAGGGCTGGTGGCTGCTCTGATTGTTCATAGAATTCTTTAAACTGGGTAGCACACTGTACAGGCTTTCTTGATTTCATTTGGCCAATGCAAGAATTTCATTGGCTCCCCCCCCCACCAAAAAAAAAATTATTCCATAGATTGTTGGGATTTTAACTTTTTACATGGGAAAAAAATTACTTATGCATGTTCACGCTGGGGGTCTCACTTCCTTGAGCATCTGTATCTTCCTTAATCTCTCTTAAGGCACAGCTCACTGGAACATGAATGAATCTTTAGTAAATTCATCTAAATGCTAGGGAAAGCTGAGAGAGTCTTCCTTTAATAGGAAAACAGCAGCACGTTTTTTCCTTCTCTCTACCCTCTTGGGGAAGAGCACCTTAAGGCCTGTATTAGCTCATGAGATTTCATCCTAGAACAGTCGAGAAAGCATCAGTCCTATCCACAGTCTCCCTAATTAATTAATAAAAAGATTTAAAATTGTAAGCAATGCCAACTTCATTTTTTTGGGGTTTTTTTGGAGTTCCAATGCTAATAAATTTCTTTTCAATTGGAAATTGAAGAATCAGGCTGGTTTTGAGATTAGTACTAGCAATGAACCTACCTTCCATCTGTGGATTTAAATCCTTTAGGGGAACACCCCTTTTAGATTTTTGCACATTTGCTAATATGGCACGACTTTAAAACTGACTTTGTCTGTTCTTACATAAATCTATAGAAGAACCCACTCCCCAAATATAGCATATTTATTATCTCCCCTCAGACCTCACTGAACCTTGGTATGCAGAACAAATAAAACACAATCAAGTTATTTATCAAGGTGATCCAAGGTTTCAGTGATGCCAGGGGACCAACCCTCAGTGCAGGGTGTCCAAGGGTCACCACGATGTCCATGGAATACCAGAATCTATAAGGGTATGGTCCTGACCTAAGATGAGGGGCCAAATGCTAAATTTACAGAGACGATTTGTGGCCTTCTTGGATTAAAACAGTTGTAAAAGACCAGGCCTGACCTATAATTGGTGTGTAAAGAATTAGCATCCGCCCTGTAGATCTGCCAGAGAAGGCTACCTCCTGCAGTGCTATCTCTTGGTGAATGCTAACTCTGCTCAAAGGCCTTTTGGGGGAAAGGACAGTGAAAAACCTCTAGAGAGGTAAGTTTTCCACCCTTCCAACCTCTCTCCAGCTGCAGCTTGCTTGGTGCTGTCAGAATCTGGACTTGGGGGGAGTATCTCTGTAGTGGAACCAGTGACAGAAGCTGTTCTTTAGAATTTTCAGGATTGGCTGTATTCTGCGGTCAGAATGAGAGAGTCAAGCTGGGCAGAATCTCTCGCCAAGAGTTCAGGTAAGGTAATGTTTATTCACTGGGAATGCTTTCCACAGCCAGACAGCTTTGCTGACAATCTCAAGTTTTCTCCCAGTTTGTTTAAATTTACATGATAAATTTGTAACTTTTTAAAACTAAATTTTGGTTGGATTTACCATGAAAACCTTTTTTTCTTTATCCCATGCAAAATGGTTTGAAATGTAATTGTTTTTTAAAAACCCTATGTGTTGGAAATTCTTTAATCTGTTTCCTCTTTTTCCTCCCTTTGAAAGTTTTGCATAGTGTAAGCATTTATTATGTCTTTTACCTTCCCTCTGCTCCTCCCCTGTGGGAGATACTAATGCTATGATCTGTGCTGAAAAATGGCACTCTAAAGGTATGGGAAGGAAGGAACCCCAAACTACAACCTGCTGTCCTTTCACGCCTTCCTTTGGAGACTGTTCCATCAGTGCCGAGGTGTGTGAGAAAATGCTTACTGCACCGCCATCTTACTGAGTTGCTTCACATGAGGAAAATGGGGTTTTGACCCTGCCACTCAGTGACTCAGTTCCACATTTTGGATTGCATACTGGAAAAGAAGCCAATCTTCTTGCTAGTAAACCAACAACCCAGCTGTATGCAGTGGTGACCCAAACAATGGATATAAACCTAAAAATCTAAGGGAGGGGTGAGGTGGAATACAATAGTTTTTGGAATCTGAAATCTCCTATTTATTTAATCAGGTTATTTACTGAGACTTGACATAAATCTGATTGGTGGGGATCTCTTAGGATCTAGTGGACACCTGGTATTAACTTACTCTCAGAGAAATACCAATTAACCCAGAGAGAAGTCTGGGTTCTGGAATTCAGTGAGAGCTGCCTCAGGACAATTGTGTATGGCCTCCATTTTTGTCTGTCATTCAGAGCTGGCTTCCAGTCACAGTACCCTTTGCTGGAAGGATCTGGGGTAGATGGGTGGATGGGTTTCTCATTCATTTTTTTTTTTTTTCCTCCCTTCGGGGTGGGGGATTGCTTTGGCTTTCTTTTGTTGTGGTTTGTTTTGTTTCATTTTTGGCAAGATCAGTTTTCGCTGCAAGGACTTGAAAAGACTGAAGGATGCCACCTGTTTTTCCTTGAGGCCTTGATTTTTATATTCTGTCCTGAGCAGAAGTTATTCCTCACAGCCTAGGGAACCAATAGCATCAGCGATTTTATTCAGTTACTCTTTGGGAAGTTTTGGGTTCTGTTTTTTTTTTTTTTATTCTCTTTCCTTAGCAGCAAGGTCTTTATTCCTGGAGAATCTACTCCATTGTAGACTCACTGCAACGTCAGGAGCCCTAACCGATTAAGTGCTGTCAGCTTGATGTACTACTGCGGACTCTGGAAACAGATATTGGTTCTATTCTGTATTTCCACTGTGTGTAGCTAAAACAACGGTCGGAGGCCAGATGACCTGTTAGATGGCTAGCTTTGTATAACTCGACTCTGTATGTTCCCATGTATGTTACCACAATGCTCCTCCTGTTGTACAGTGTCTGTGCGATGCTCTTTGAAGATGGTACTTTTTTTTTTTTTCATTTTCAATAAAAGTACATTACCTCCCACTTCCTGGTATTTAATCCTGTTGCTGAATGTGCCTTGTGTGAGTGTGTGCTCCGGCGTTGCAGGACCTCAGAGCTGGAGGTGGCATTCGGTGGTTCTTGGGGGCTGGCTGCCTTCCTCACTGCAGGTGGTGTTAGACATATGCTACCTGAGGTAACATGTTTTTGTTTTTGGGAGGGAGCGGGGAGAGGGGAGGGCCTGTGGGAGGGTCTCTGGATTTGTGATAGTCTGCTTTGTTTGCTGCCTTCTGTGCTATTAAACTGCTGATGTTTATTTTCAGGAATGTTTTGCAAATGCACTTCTCACTCTTCCCCAGTCCAACTGTAGGTACACTGTTCCTTTTTATCAAATAAGCACGTTTGAAACGATCCAAAAAAAGGTCTTAATTTCATTTAAAGAAATGTATCCATGTGTGGAGATACTGGAATAAGGTCAAATATATACTTTTTAATGACCATGTGTTTAGAATTAATTTCAGCTCATGGACAGATTTATGTTACATTAGAAAGAGCAATCGTTTTGGTGGTGTCCTTAAGGAAGAAAGTTTCAAATTAGTCCTACCTCCAGCAGAAGGCCCTGAGTAAATTACCGCAGGCAGGTTGCCAGTAACATTTGGTCCTCCAAGAAGGTTTTTCTCTGCTTATGCACTTAGCACTGAACAGTGAAGCTACCTCCTCTTTCTAACTTAACATAAAACTGTGGTGTGGTGTGTGGGTGCCGTGGAGATGTTGAGAGCGGTGTGTGTTTCTCCCTGTAGGCCTTCATGGTGAAACACCTCCTGGAGTACTCCCAGGCCACAGATTCTAACCTCAAGTACAGCTTGCTGTTAGTCCTGGGCCTCCTTCTGACAGAAATTGTGCGCTCCTGGTCACTTGCACTGACTTGGGCATTGAATTACCGAACTGGTGTCCGCTTGCGGGGGGCCATCCTCACCATGGCATTTAAGAAGATCCTGAAGTTAAAAAACATTAAAGAGAAGTCCGTGGGTGAGGTAAGTAAGGGGTGTTTGCTTCAGAGTGGAGAGGACGCTCCCAGCTTGACCTGTTTCTTTCCCCTGGGTCCCTGCTTTGCCTTTTTCCTCCCCCTGAGAGAAGTGGCCTGTGTCCTCGCAGGGTCTTCTCACTGCTCTTTGTGTCTCGTAGCTCATCAACCTGTGCTCCAACGATGGGCAGAGGATGTTTGAGGCCGCCGCTGTTGGCAGCTTATTGGCTGGAGGACCCATTGTTGCCATCTTGGGCATGATTTATAATGTAATTATCCTGGGACCAACAGGCTTCTTAGGATCAGCTGTTTTTCTCCTCTTTTATCCCGCAATGGTGAGTAAGCCTCCTTGCCATATTTTGGCAGCTTCTCCTTAGATGAGTTACTTCCATTGGGTTATATATAGTAGGCACCGCTGAGGTATCATATCTCTTACTGGAAATTTCCTCAGAGCAGGTGCCTGGTTTGGAAAAGTCTAGAATTGCTAGACAGTGTTCAGTCCATCCATGCAGAATTTTTACTTGAGAGAAAATAAGGTATTGCTTGAATAAAGGCAGTGACTCCTTCTGAGATTAAAAAAGGGAGTCTGAGTGAAGGAGAAGGCCAGCAGACCTGGCCCCCAGGTAACTATAGGAGTGTTTGAGTCAGTCCATCTCAAGTTGATGCTAACTGATATGGCTTTCATGCTTCCCTTTGGTAGCACTCAATATCTGCAATTACTATTGAGAACAAATATGTATTTGTCTTAACTTCTGTACAAAGGGGTAAGAATTAAATATTTGATTATAATTTAATAGACTACTTTTATTAATAACAGTACAACTACAGTGTGCTCATTTTATTTATAATAATCTTAAGCAAATTTTTTCCCCAGAAAGACTAGACAGTTCCCAAGTTTGATAAGCTGTGATTTGGCATGGCATCTCTTTTTTCTTTCAGATGTTTGTATCACGGATCACTGCATATTTCAGGAGAAAATGTGTAACCACTACAGATGACCGTGTCCAAAAGATGAATGAAGTCCTCACCTACATTAAATTTATTAAAATGTATGCCTGGGTCAAAGCATTTTCTCAAAGTGTTCAAAGTAAGTTTACAGACTTCCTATGTACATGTGGTAGAAGGACTTTGGCTTCTTTGCTTCCTGGGCACATTAGCTACTAGGAATCCCAATGTCATAGGAGCATAACTTATATTCTCATAATATGATTTTATGAGCTTAACGTTGATAGGGATCTTAGAGACTTGAACCCATGACCTCATCTCAGAGATGAGGAAATTGAGACCTGAGAAAACTATGGTTCCCTCCCGCCCCCCAAGATAATTCAGCTGGTTATGAGTAATTCATTTAGTTTCAAAGGTCCCTGTCTTTATTTACTGTGCCCATAATTTTCTGATCTGGCTATGAGGACATCACAAAAAACAATCAAGTGCTCCAGCTCTGCCCCCTGCACTCTGTGGGTGTGTGTGTACGGGAGGTAGCTAGCTGTGAGGTTCCTGGGAGCGGTTCCGGGAGAAGCACTGGTCTGGGGATCAAAACAGCTGGACCCTGGGCATAGCTCTGTTACTCACTCATAAGGGTTTCCAGGGCTTGTAGTTGTTGTTGTTGTTTTTTTTTT